TAACAGGTGCCACGCTAGTAGTAACAGGTGCCACGCTAGTAGTAACAAGTGCCTTACTAGTAGTAACAAGAAGCTCATCTGCTCCGTGACCGAGCCCACCGGACTCTCGGACAGACAGTTCGCCTGAACCCTTTCGTTTCTCGTCTGTCTGCCGGGTCCGTAGCAAGCGCAGCAAACGCATCAGCATCATCAACTGCCCAACGTTCACGCCACTGGAGGCTTTCTCGCTCTTGGCCTCCACCTTTCGAAGCGTCAAAGCATCGAAGCATCGCTTCATCGAAGCGAATCATGTGACAGAAAAGCCTTCACCAGTCACATTGGTCTTAGAAGGTCATCACTAGTTGCCAGTGCTTAGACACCTTTGGCCCAAAAAATGCAGGGACTGCTAACAGTTCCCTCACACCTGCTTCCCCTGAAAGGACTTCTTGCAGACATTGGCCAAGGGCATCAACCAGGAATCTCCGGCCGAGCTGACCACGATGATAAGGTCAAGCAGATTCCAAACCTCGCAAACACAAGATCCACCAAAAATTCAATTGCGGAGTCAGTGAAACTCCAATGCGGGTCCAATCAGAACTAACTACTGTATATTGAATCTAGAAGTAAACACAAGCCGTCCGGGACACTGGACTGCCAAATGTTGCCAAGGCACTAAGTCTGGGCTCTCACACGAAAAGTAGTCCCGGCCAAGCCTCTTTAGCCGCACGACCAACTCGAAGACGTAGATGCAAAGCAACACATTTTCCTGCCAAAGGAACCATCAATGGCGCAAAAGACACCAAAACGGCACAAAAGAACATTTGTGAAAAAGTGGACATCAAAAATTGCGGCACAACCACCGACCAAGTCAACTGTTCCAAAAACTGTCTAACAAGCTTTTCAGCTAAAAGCCCTTCAAATCTCAATAAGTGTTGCAGTTGGCCCCCCCCATTGACCGCGGCAGCTCCTACAAAACGAGTGCTATTGCTGTGGCCAACGCATTTCACACACAGCTTTTCAATAGCGGTACAATCAGATCTCTCATGATCTTCGGTTACCCCTGCCCCACCGGAGGTCAATCCTATCTCTTGTCTCTCCAAGTCTCAATGACTATCCATCCACCCCAGTCGATATCCGTTTCGCAGCCCATCAGCAGCGCATTCACAGCAATGACACCACCGATGAAGCTTTGGAACGCCGGACGTTCGGTCCAAGACAGGTCCCATTCCTCGAGCATCGGTCCGAGACGTTTGCGGAGCGGCGGTCCGATGCTTTGCGGTAGAACTGCCCGAAAACTGCTGCGAGTTTGGTCCAATAGCAATTAAAACAAAGATCTATCTGATCTGATTGGATGAAGGGCCTCAGGTGACTGGCATGGGTCTTTCGCTTCCTACCTGAGTGAGGCTTTCCAGCCGTGCCTCTGGCAAAAGGCTCTGAACTTGAGTTCAAGTGGCAGTATAGAAGAAAAGTACAGTATGCACCAGCAAGTATTTATATAGAATAAAATGCGACATTGAGAGGCGTGTCCCTGCATGTCTTTCAATGTCTCGTGGCCAAGACTGACTTGCATTGCTCAAGGGTCTTCATCATGATCTAGTGAAGAAGACACCGTAACAAAATGCGCATCACAGTCAGTACCGAGAGACTAAAACAAAGCCAATGACTTTGAACACTCGCAGCAATCGCAAGAGTCGCATGACTTGTAGCAGTTTGGAGAGCTCATGGCTGAAGCTTCGCGGCAACTTGGCCTCACAGCATCAGCAGAGACACTCTCGGCATGCCAGACAGACTGTAGAGTACGGAGGAATCTCTTCCAAACCTTGCATTGTAGAACCAATATATACTCTTTCTTCGGCTACCCTGTGAGGTCAATCTGGTGCCAATGAACCCACCACAAACCGCCTCTGGTGCCAATCCCCCGTCCTCGATGTACTTGAAGGCCAGCTCATCAAAGAGACCCGCCGACACGATCAAAAGATCCAGCAAGCTCCACATCACCAATTTACGTGGACCACAAAGAAACTTGCCCTTCCAAAGGCACGCACGGCAAATCAGCTCCACGGTGTAGAAGGTCAGGAAGCCCTGCCTTGGATGTGGAAGAAGGCGACTTTGGTCAACTTTTTCCATTGACCGCACGAAGACTAGTCAACCTTTCTTGCTGGGGCCCTCATGACTTATGCGAAGTCAAAAACGCACGGATGATAGTCAGCTTGCATCACCACCACCACCACCACAACCACCACACTCAGGCCGGTGCTAGCAAAAGTGAGAAGCGTTCTTCATGGCTTGTTGATTGGATTGCAGGATCACGCAGCAAGTTCGAAAAGAAGAAAACATGCTGCCAAAAGATCAGAAAGCGAGATCTCAATCCAGGCCACTCACACCAATAGAACTTCTTCACCATGGCCTCTGAATCGGCCTCCAAGACAATGGTCACAGTGTTGGAGCCGATGACCGTCGCCGCAATGATGTGAAACCACCAGGTCTCCACGAAGGCGAAGCAGCTCTTCTTCTCCAAAGGCGTCAATGCCTCCTGGGTGACAGCAAAGGCACAGATTAAAAAGGCAATAGGAAATTGACTTTCACATCTTAAAACCGTGAACAAGTACTGTAAGTCTGACTAGAATGTCACCCAAACACTCAATACACTAAATAGTGTCGTCAGAGCGCTGGTGCAAATGATGCACTTGCATCGTCTGCATCACCAACCCGCCAAAAATCACCTCCTTGTCAAAGCAAAAACACAAGCAGGCTAATGGTTCATCTATATCCGCTTTTCCGCACCTCCCCCCACACCCACTTCGTTCGCAAACATAACTTCAGCCTAGCCTATTGGCTGGCTTTCGCAAAAGAAAAACACATCCAAGGTTGACGTTCTCACAATAAAGGGCAATCCTGCACCCCAAATCCTGACCGCACTAGAATCACTAGAAGGCCAAATTGGTGGGATGAGCACTGCTGCAACCTGAGGTGTCAAGTGCGTTTGAAGTTTGCCAAGTGCCAACAAGCTTCGGCATCCTCCTCGTCCTCGTCATCTACCTTCAGCAGCTCATCACTGATCCCGCGATCCTGGGTGTACCTATCATGTTTCGGAACCGTTTGGCACAACTGAGGCCCCTTTGGCCCGTGGGAGGTGTGGAAACATGCAGAACACGACCCGCGAAGTGAAAGAATAATATGGCCAGGCCTGTCGCTGCCCCAAACGCTGTTGCACTCGGTTTCTTCATCACTTTGGGCGAAGAAGTCCTGAAAAAGTGATCGCTGTGCTATCGAAAGGGCGTGTGCTCAGGCTCTAGCAAACGTGATGTGTTTTCTTGTTTTCCCTACCGGGTCACAGAACCTCAATCAGTGATACCGCATGTCTCACTGTGCAGTTGCTAGGCAAGTAGTCACTAGCATTTGAGAAATCACCTTCAGCTGACCTGAGATGACACTTCAAGAGGTAACTTTCAATTGGTCTCGTTCAGCCTTGTCATCTGCGGGGATCTTTTGATAGCCATGGTCATTAAAGGGCGCCAAGGGCTTTGCCATCCTGCCTCCATGGCATTCCCCCGCGTTTGAGCCGAAGCCTGTGCATTTCAGATGTTCAAGCTCCTACGCAAGCCTGGTTGGTTTCAGCTAGCGCCGACAGAAACCGTGCAGTAGGTTTAAAGTTTAGAGGATCTCCAAACCGTAACCTACCCTCAACTGCAACTGCAGTCCTGCACCGTAGCAACCCTGAAGGCTCCAGACTCGACCAGAAATTGGGAAAAAACGTCGAAGCCCTGCTCTTTGTCGCTCACAAGATCCGAGAGCATCCCAACGGCAAGGCACCCTTCTGCCACATCCTCGCGAAACTTGAAGCCCTTTTTCTCGTCCACCCATGCCTGGCGAACAGAACGGACACAAGGACCCTGACCACTTACCACTTATTGTAGCCTTCAAGTGCCCCGGATCTCACCGGATCCACCCGGATTGCCTCAAGTTTGGGCTGAAGAGCTTCGCGCTCCTGATGTACCACCTTCTCGTACACGGAGCCGAAATCCTCAGTGGGCGCCAAGGCTTGCAGCCAGTTGACTTCAGAATGGTCCCTTTCAACTCCTTTTTCTTGGTTTCCATTAGTGATGGCCTCCACCTAGTAGCGATGGCCTCCAGCCTACCAGCGATGGCCTCCACACCCAGAGATGGATAGGTGGAGAATTGTTCCCCGACTGGCCAAGCTGCATGAAAATCCAGAGATGGATAGGTGGAGACCGAGTCGGCAGCTTCTCGAACCTTCGCAAGAACTCAAATCCCCTCCAGACTCAATGGGCCACTGAAACGCAAACTGCTGGTGCTGCTCGGGCAATCCAGACATTTACTGTGCCAACCTTCTCTTCTGGTACCTTCAGGAAGCCCAGGTAAGCGAAGATCATGCCAAAGTTGTCCTGCTTCAGGGAGAGGTTGTTCATATGATGAGTTTCGGGACAAAGCATGCAGAAAGACAATCGCGGCACCGCAACTGCATCTACGACCAAGCCATAGCACCTTCTGAACCTCTCCGTCCAGGGCAAAGCGATTGAACAAAACCTGGGATGGCAAAACATACTGTAATTGCAGTTGACCTGCAGCATCACGTGCCCATGGAGAAGGAATCTACGAAGATCTTTTAGGACATTTTAGAACCAAAAGAAGATCTTATGGATAAAAATATATATATATAGGACAACACCACTGCCACCATGAGACCTTCATTCGGGCCGTGTCATAGTCTGCCGCGTGATCCCTCACCACATATCGAGCCTCTGCCTGGCAACAGCGTATGGCAAAACAAGCCAGGCCTGCAAGACCCTATGTCACTTGCGCTCGCTTGCGCACCTAGAAAGGGTCGGCTATGAAAACCCCAGCACTACCGAGCAGTCAAAATCAGGTATGCAAAATTAGGTTGACTGTTGACTTAAAAAGAATATGGAAATGTTTGATCATCCGTTTAGGTTGTACATAGTTGTATTGATCAACGGTCGGCATTTGTCATCCTTCCCCTTGACTCTGGCAATTCAAAAGGAGCTTGCTGTCTTCCTGACGGCATGCATGTTGAAAGACTGCATTCTTAGCATCACCGCTTCGACGCCGTGGCCTCCGCCACAGATGCCATCAGCTCTCCGTGCGCATACTCTAAGGCTGAGCCCATGGGTTCGCCTCCTGGGGACGTTCGCTACAGCGGCTACGGGTGTGCTCTTCCGAGGATGCTCCAATGGCTATTGCAAGCTCGGTGGAGTCAACAGCTGAAGCTACAACTGTATAGGTCTTAGGTTCTTGAACCCTAGCCAGTCGCGGCCAATGGGGACCCCATCATGATGGCTTGTTTCACTGAACCAGCTCTGTGGCTCACCCATCTATCGCAGAGTTCAATTACAATCTCGGGGCTTGGCATTGTCTATGCCATTGCTCTATGTTTCGGATCAGAGGCTTTGGACCATAAATATGTGGGATCCTAGTGTTCCGCGCGAAGTCTTTCCAACATACTCCGGCACTCGCACCTCTGACAGAGGGCACATGCTTCAGAGTGATGACGCTATTGCGGTGCCTCGCGGAAAGAGTTGATGGAGTTGTCCCCCAAAAGGTGCCGCAGCTGAAGGTCTCATTACGCACAAATGTACTCAAATACACTCGCACATACCTGCATACAGCACCGCATACAGTATTGAATTGGGCAGTGTTGACATCAACTTGATGCGACTCGTGCTCAGTATGTCCTGGTAAGTGTCTCCTTGCCTATTCTTCCGCCTGGAGGGTGAGCCCAGGCTGTCATCCGTGGCTGTACGCAGAAAGTCAATGTCCTGCCAGTGTGCAGTCAGTGAACTATGTCCGGTCCAAACCTTTCACCAGAGTGTACCTGTGCAAATGGGTACCTCAGCCCCCCCGGTTTACTGGGAAAATGTTGGTATACCCTCCGGCCAGGCATACAGACAGCCAGCCAGGCAGCCTCATGAAGAGCGTTCAAGAATCCCATTCTTCCGTTTGAGGGTGTTTGTCTTCAGGACGCAATGAGCATGCAATGAGCTCAGAACGTCATAATGAAGTAGTGCATGTACATGTAACCTGCTGTGGAAATTTCTGCACTATGTGGCTCTTGCTGCACAAGGCCAGCTATGGAAATCATAATCAACTTCTGCTGATGTCTGTTCGTTCGATTGTTTGTGTTTCCTGTCGTGTGCCTCTCTGCTCCCTTTCCAAAGAAGAAAGACTGCGCAAACAACCGGAGAATACGTAAGAATCACCAGGCCACAATTCCGGGGAACATGCAAATCCGCCGCTGTCAAAGACCTTTCTGCCTTTCCCGTGACTTTTGGGGCACGACCTGACACAGGCAGCGGTGTTTCTGGTCCTTGGGCTCATCCGCCGCAGCAATCGTGAATTCGGATGTCTCGTCATCCTGGGGAGGGCGGCGCGCGGTGAGTGGCTGGATGGGTCCAAAAGCTGGTTCTTCACACAGCGATTTCTGAACTGTCATCTCCTGACCACGGAAGTCTCTGCTACCTCAGAATGCGCAGGCAGGAACACGAATCAGGCCAAGAACTGTTATGAACAAGAAGCCGTCTACCATCTGCCGCAGCGCAATGTGGAAAATCCCCCAAAGGGCCCTCCGGCCTGAATACTGCCGCTTGAGCTTCTCTGCGGTGAGGTCCTGGGCTCCACTCACATGAACCTAGGCCTATGTGCCGCACCTCCAGCCATCCAATTCTAGGGTCGCCTATAGGTAAACGCCGTTTCGTTTCTCCACTCATGAGGCCCAGTGGCGGAAGCCTTCTCTCTTAAGCCCCTGAGGAACATCCAGGCGTAGGGCTGTTCAGCTCTTTTGTGAAAGTTGCGCCTCAGTCACTCTATATAGCTGCTTGGGAACTCGCCAAACACTCTCAAACCAGCAAGCCTGCCAAAAAAGCGCGAATGGGCGCATTAAATGAACGAATGGAAGCTTTTTGCACAAATGCACAGTCCGGTGCTGAATGCGCCGTGGCACTTGAGGTCTTTCACCCGGCAAAGGGACGGTTGGCTAGCAGTCGCATTCATGTTCCGTGGCGACCAGGGCCAACAGGAGGGCGCACAATCCGGTGGTGTTAACCTCACAATTTCCACAAGTGCTTCGTCTTATGTGACATTTCACCCAAAACATGAGGTCTTATGTGACATTTCACCCAAATACACCCCCTTTGCGAAGCACTGGGGGAAAACCGCTTTGGACCGCAAGGCACACCAAAAATCAACGCGTCTCTTTCTGAAAGGCTTCATTTTGGGGTGATCAGCCAGAGGTCAAAATTCAGTGCCGGGTGGCCGATAACTTCCTTCAGGGCGAGGGCGCTCAAGCGGCTCGACTTTGGGGCTACCCAAGCTCCTGACGTTAACGAGTCGAACTGCAAGGAACGGATCTGCGGGCACTTTGTGGGATGACCGTGTTCCACGGCCAAACGCATCGCACAAAGTCCTTTGTTCACAAACATCCCAAGTCCATCCTCTTCCCACTGATCTTAAAGAATCTAGAAGCGAGATGTCCAGCGCCGTCACCCCCCTCCTGCAGGAGACTGCGCCATCTGTCCAAGCCCAGGAGGGAGCCGATGATGCCACCGACTGGGCGAATGATTCAAGTGCTCCAGGATCAGACCCCATTAGGAACAAACCATGCAGTTGTCTTTCTTTTTGAGGAGGTCTTTGTTGATTCCTCCTTTTTTTCGTCCCGTCTTCGTTGTTTAAACAGCTTAGAGGCTTAGAGTTCCTTCTCTTGACTTTACATTTACATGCTTCGGTGGGGCCGGCGGGCCCAATCTGTGAGCCATTGACCTATCATTTCTGGTGACCATACATCCAAGTCATCACCCCCAACGGCCTGACAGCCTTTGCTCCTGGATCGATGTATTACATCTGGCCGTGGCTTCACCTGGGCGACACGGTTAGAGAAACTTGCAACAGCGAGGCGGTTTCCTTTGAACTTTGGGTTGCACCCCTACATCTGTCCATTTGTCAAACATGTGTCCCGCAACGACTGGTAGATCTCCTCAGTTCTATCTCATCTTGACAGCAAAAATCGCGGTACAAATGCTGGACCCCAGACCTGGCCTACCCTACTTTTGGAAAGAGCCTTCACCTACCTAATGCCCTTCTTCTCGCGTCGCCTTCTCTGCTCTTGTTTGGCCCTTGCTGCGAGGCCGTACCTGAGTCATCCACTGGCAGCTCACCAAGGATGGCGAATGGATCATGTTATGGCTCACCACTTTGACAACAAACAGTGGTTGAGAAGCCAATGCACCTTGGCAGCATATGGTGAGTGGTCACTCAGCTGGCGCCTGCTGCCGCAGCCTGGACCAAAAAAAAGGCACAAAGCAGCTGTCGCAAGTCCAAAACCTTCCACGTGACCGTTCCTACCACAATTCTGATCTTTCATGTTGTTTATATGTTTCATGTCCACTCTCACGCCCACTCAGCAGTTCCACAGTGATTCCACCATACTTGGACCATCCAGTCCTCCCTCAACTCAGAGCCCTAGCGTCCCCCGCCTCCAGGTTTCAGCCGCCGCCCGGCCGAGGCGCTCCGCAGCGTCGCCATGAAGGCACCATTGTG